ACTCAATGTAAATTATTGATTTCAGTTCAATTATTCAGTGAAAATTTGTAAAATTGAGGTCAATTTACTTTATTCGTGAGTTTGCAATTAATAGCAACTTCGGTAACTTATGAAATTTTAGTTATATATATATTTAAAACTATTTCCCCTCATTTTTACTCACAATAAATTACTTTAAATTTTGAGCTGTTAATAAAGCGAAACATTGATAGACCACTTGAAACGAACCATTTCAGATTTTATTAGTTCCCTCAAATGAAATATACTCTTCAGGGAAAACAGTCATGTTTCAATTCATCAAGAAGTGGGGGAAAAAAACAAGATAACAGTGGAATTCAGAGAAATACTATTTTATGAATATTTCCGGAGTGAACCGGTTCTCAAGGCACATCAAGTTACTTTTATTGTAGAAAATTTCCTAATCGATAAGAACCCCCTTGTCAAAATTCCCTCTAGATCTATCAACCTAAAAAATATTCTCAAAAACTGCAAAAATTTTGGAGTCAAATTTTGAAGGTTTCGCCGGATTATTCAACAGCATCATAAAATTTTTGAAACTACTCCACGAAAGTGTCTAGTCGTACCGTACCATGGACCGTATCGTGATTGAAAATATATTATCAAAATTAATCACTCGATTGCAATACTATCATGCTCTCAATCAACCGATAATCGGGAATACCTCGCATTCTCCGGAATTAAGGATAAAACGTAAAAAAACATTAAAAAATATCCGCTAGTCTGGCTGTATTCTGCATTACTCAAATGATCCCAATTTTTCACTGAAAATATCCTGAGATTCCTCAGAGACATGTCGTCACGAGTGATTTTTGGAGTCAGTTTTTGGAGGTTTCGTCCGAGCATTCGTCAGCATCATAAAAATTTTTTAAATACCCAACGAAAAAATCTCGGACTCCCGTAACGTACACCACATCGTGATTAAAAATAAATTATCAAAATTGATCACTCGATTACGATACTATCATTTTCTCAATCAACCGATAACCGTGAATACCTCACATTCTCAGCAATTAAGGATAAAACGTAACAAAAAATTGGAAAATTTCCACGGAAGTCCAGCTGAATAAATAAAAAATTGTCATACCGAGTATTAGTAATAAACAAGATGTCTGCACAAGTCCAGGAAATCTGTATTGCTTGAATGATCTCAATTTTTCACCGAAAATATATTTGAATTCCTCAGAGGCATGTCCTCTGAAGATATTTTTGGAGTCAAATTTTCTAGGCATTCACTAACTTTATCAAAATTTCAAAAATTTCACTAAAGTCTAGCTGCATAAATAAAAAACCCCGTAACAAATACCTTGCATTCTCTGCAATTAAGGATGAAACGTAAGAAAAAATTTAAAAAATTTCACTGACGTCCAGCTTAAAGATAAAACGTAACAAAAAATGGGAAAAATTTCACTACAGTCTAGCTGCATAAATAAAAAACCCCGTAACGAATACCTTGCATTCTCTACAATTAAGGATGAAACGTAAGAAAAAATTGAAAAAATTTCACTGACGTCCAGCTGCATAAATAAGTAAATTTCATACGAAGAATCGATAAAAAATCGTTTGCTCAATTCAACGTATTCTGTATTACTCAAATGATCTCAATTTTTCACCGAAAATATCTGACTTCCTCAGAGGCATATCCTCGCGAGATATTTTTGGAGTCAAATTTTCGGAGCATTCACCAACTTCATAAAAGTTTCAAAGAAAGTGGTTAACAATACCATCATCCTCTTGAGTAACCGATAATCCCCAATACCTGAATTCTCCGCAATTAAGGATAAAACGTAACAAAAAATTGAAAAAATTCCACTAGAGTGTAGCTCCATAAATAAAAAGCGCCATAACAAATACCTTGCATTCTCCGCAATTAACGATGAAACGTAACAAAAAATTGAAAAAATTCCACTGACCTCCAGCAGCATAAATAAACGAATTCCATACGAAGAATCAATAAAAAATCGTTTGCTCAATTCACCGTATTCTGCGTTTCTCAAATGATCCCAATTTTTCACCGAAAATATCCTTGAATTCCTAAGAGGCATATCCTCGCGAGATATTTTTGGAGTCAAATTTTCGGGGCATCATCCTCTTGATTAATCGATAATCCCGAATACCTCGCATTCTTTGCAATTAAGGACAAAACATGACAACAAATTTAAAAAATTCCACTGAAAAATTTCCAAGTTCAGCTGCATAAATAAAAAAAATCAATAGGGAATTAATGAAAACCGTTTGCAGAATTCAACATACTCTGCATTTCTCAAATGATCCCAATTTTTCGCTAAAAATCCCCTTGAATTCCTTCAGAGGCATGACCTCGCGAGTGATTTTTCATTCACCAACCTCACAAGAATTTCAAAAATACTCGGCGAAAGTGCCTCGCATCCCCGTTGACGTAACAAAAAATAGATAAATATCCATTGACTTCAGCTGCGTAAATAAAAAAACGCCATAACGAATACCTTGCATACTCCGCAATTAAGGATATAACGTAACAAAAAATTGAAAAAATTCCACTGAAGTTCAGCTGCATAAATAAATAAATCCTATATGGAGAATCAATAAAACGCCGTTTGCACAATTCAATGTAGTCTGCATTTCTGAAATGATCCCAATCTCTCTATATTTTAAAAATCTAAATCGACTTCGGGTGGTAAAAATTTGGTACTCGAAATTAAGAGTCTGAAATTAAGGGTCCCAAGGATCGCGAGGGTCAGAATAAGGGTTATGGGAGGCAGAATAAGGGCCACAAGGGTCAGAATAAGGGCCATCAGAGTCAAAATAAGAGTCACGGGGGTTATAATGAAGGTCAGATTAAGTGTAACGAACATGAGTATAGCGAACACTTTAAAAGAAAAACAAGTGGAAAATTACTCTTGTATTGTAGATAGTATAGTTATTTTTGCTAATAAATTAGCAATATGCTTCCGAATCGTTATTTTGCACATCATTTTCTTCTATCATGTGTAATTCATTGTCTATTTCATTTGATTAAATTCAATAAAATTTCCTTGCACCCAAACTAGAAAATTTCATTTACACATCCTTGAATCAATTTTAAACATCACATTTGAAGAAACCATCAAAAAGTTCACTTTCAGGAAAATTCACGTAAAATTGAAAATTTTCAACAATCATTATAGAAATCAAATCAACGACTATCGCTACCGTAATCATCTTTTAACTTCGACTTAATGACATTGAAACACCCATTTTAAGCCTTGAGTGAATTCATTTAAAGCATGATACCCAAAGATACCCCCGGAATTCTGATTTTCAAAAAATACAAATTTTTTTGAAAATTGTCGAATAAATCAAAATAACGATTATTGCTATCGCCTTCATCTTCGAACTCGGTCAAACGGACATTCAAATTTTTTAAGCCCTTATTCAATCAATTCAGAACATTTTTTTTTTTTTAGTTATCGTGGGACAACCGATTTTCGAAAAAATTCAAAAATTAAAAAAACTACTGGATGAATTAAATTTTAATTAATGGCGATCGATAAGGCCCAATAGTACCTACATTTTGAAAAAAAGATTCAATTCCATCCATTCATTAGTGAACAATTGAAAATCTTTACCACACGGACACGGTCGAAAATTTGCATTTTCGAATTTTTTGGATCATAATGGGTCGATGCAACAAAAAAATCAAAAACTTAAATTTGAACGATTACAATGCTTTCATTCGGAAGCAAAAAGTTAAATTCGTTGAAGAGTCTAGTGCAAGGAGCATTTTTAAGCTAAAAACGTGAAAAATTACATTTTTGGTGAATTGATTGATTGAGATTTATTCCCTGTACATTGTGTTGTCCAAAATCAAGTACCTAATGACAAACCCACACGCACGAAAAAATGTAATAAAAAAACCTATCGAATTCGTTAGAAAATTCTATTGAATTTCTATCAAACTTTCTATTAGTTTTTGGCTGATTCCATTGACATGTTCAGTCAGTAGAAAACATTTAATAGAAAAAGTCAACAGAATTCGATTTTTCTATATAACTTATTCTTTTCATATATTTTCTATAGAATTTACTCGACTCAAATTTTCTGTTTTTTTCATTCCATTTTGATTTTCTTCACATCAAGAAAATCAAACGAAAAAACTTAGAAAATTTGAGCCGAGGAAATTCTATAGAAAATATCTCAATAGAATAAGTTATATAGAAAAACTGAATTCTATTGACTTTTTCGAATGAATATTTTCTATTGAATATTTCAATAGAATCGGCCAAAACCTAATAGAACAGTTCAATAGAAATTCAATAGAAATTTCTACCGAATTCGATAGGTTCTTCTATTAAATTTTTTCGTCCGTGCATGCAGCGGAAAAACAAGAGGAGCTAACTATAAACTAAAAGAGGTCGTAAATAACATAATACCGTAGGAGATGAGAAATAATATGTACTAAGGTCTCACAACAAGAGAAAGAACGAAGAAAAATAGGGACACGCAGCATGAAAGGACTGAGGATCCTTTCCTAGGGAAATCATCTTGACAAGGATCTCTAGAGGTGGCCTACGGAACAAAACGGGTCTGGTCAAAAAATTTTCTTCCTTTTCAATATATCCCTCCATATACCAAAAGTCGTCCAATGGCCCCCAAGGCCGCGCGAAGACTTTTGAATTTCACCGCGGACTCCCCTCGACAGAAAATACAAAAATATCCACTGAAGTCCAGCTGCATAAATACAAAAACGCCATATGGAGAGCCAGTGAAAAATCACAATTCGCACAATCGTGCATGATTCAAGGTATTCGCAACGCGTTCCGCATGACTCAAGTGATCCCAATTTTTCCCCAAAAATATCTTGAAATTTCCGAGACACGTCACGAATGATGAGTGATGGATGGGCTCCCTCGGGGTGCTCCGATCACTCATCGTTCACGTGACCCACCCCCTCAAGTGCAACCATACTGGGATGCCTCGGAGCGCACCTGAAAAATATTAAAAACAACTAATGCCATAATTACCTTATCAAATGTACGCCACCCTGCGGGTCGGCACTCGGTTATTGGCGGAATGGTGGAAGTTTTCGTTGACTGGATCCCAAAAATCAGTCAAATTGTTTTTCCGCACGGAATAATAATTCCAGGCGGCAGCCACTGCTTGTTAGATTTATGGTCTTGTGATTTAACAGTTGAAACTGAACAGGACATTAATCCTCTTGTATTTGTAATTATTGTATTGTTGTTTTATCGATTTTTATAGCTCACTTTGTTTTAGTTTTGATGTGGTTTCGGTTGGGGCTATTTTTTCGTTAAATTTCGATTGTTGGGGGTGATTTTATCCAATTAATTCGATGGAACTTCGAACGACCGACGAGGCAACATGGCCAGAGGGGCTCGGAGAACAGAGGTGAGTTGTGTATTCGGAAAGTCATTGGTGTTGGACTGTTTGGGGGGGTACGCCGGATGGAGCGGCTGACCAATGAGTGAGAGCTAGGAGTTTCGCTGATGAATTTGAGAACGTTCACATCAGCGGGAAACTTTACTGATGTACAGTTTGTTTTAGCTAATAATCTCTATTCTATTTTAATGGATATTTTACGTTATTAAAATGCTTCCTTTTATTCCATAAAAAGAGAAATTTTTTATTCTACGCAGAGGGGAATTCTATAGTATTTAGAATGTTTTTCAAATTGTGACATTCAGCCGAAGTTCGTGGAATTGACTCATTGGATAAGTTATCCAGGGAGGCATAACATCAAAGTGATGTGATGTTCTGACGTCCCCGCGTATTTTTGAATGACCGTTATTTATTGATCGATTGCACAACAAATGAAATATTGCGCAATTGGTCGAAACACGGGCGAGAAAATTCCATAGATAAGCCGAAAATTCTGGCGAATTTAGAAGAAAATTATGTTCGATTTCTAGTGAACTTTTAATAGTATTAATTTTTTAGGCGATTTTAGGTGAATTATGGAGCTTGTCTGTACGTTTTCTCGAAATAGAATTTTGTAATGGAGAATGTTGTATAGAAAATTTTAACAGATTTCGATTTTCTTATACAAGTTATTCTGTTGAGATATTTTCTACAGAAATTCCTCTGAAATTTTTTCATTTTTTTGATTGATTTTTCAAATTTAAAGAGAAGAAAAATATAGTGGAAAAAACTTCATGTCGAGGAATTCCTATAAGAAATGTCGCAATAGAAAATGTTATGAAGAAGTATCAAATTATACTAAATTTTCCATAAAATTTTCCATGAAATAGTTTCTATTGGACATTTTTTATTAAAAAAACCGCACATTACAGCTGCGGAATTCTTCAAACGGTAAAAAACTGATCGAATTTGCAATTGACCTCAATAGAAATCCAATAGAATTTTCTATAACATTTATTAATTTTTTAAATGAAATTTTTTCATGCGTAAGTTGATTGTAATTGTTGTACCGTTAATTAGAATCAATTTCAGCAATTGCATTGAATAGCGAAAACTCAATTTCGCGATTTCATTTAATAGTATTTTTTAATGGTGAATGTTCATTAGAAAACATTTTTACTATTATTAGAAAATATTCGGTTGCAATTTCTCGGTTCAAATTTTCTACCTTTTTTTGTTTAATTTTCATGAGTAAAAGAAAAGAAAAATAGAGTAGAAAAACCTTTAAAAAATTCATGTCGAGAAATTTCTACAGACAATGTCTCAATAGAAAAAGTTGTATAGAAATATCAAATTCTACTAAATTTCCCATAAAATAAAATAGTTTCTGTTAGACATTTTTTATTTATAATAGAATTGGTCAAAAACTCATAGTATTTGCAATAGAACTTCAACAAAATTTTCAATAAAATTTATTATTTTTTTCTATGAAATTTTTCTGTACGTCACTTGATCGTAATTACTCGATTAATTACAATAAATCTCTGCAATTGCACTGAATAATAAAAATTCTAAATGAAAAGTATTCATTTTTGTCATTTTAAATCCGTTTAATTAACACAAAAATTGTTTACAAAAAAGCCTTTTTACATATCAAAACCTCGTCTACAATTTACAATAAATTGTCTCCATAATCCCTACGCACGATTCCTCTACCTGACGAACCATAATATGCTTTTCTCTTATTGGTTTTGAGACAAAGGAATTATTTGTGGTCTTTATTCAGCTTTCAGAGGTGCTTCAGGGGACTGGAAGCTCCTCCAGATCGTTCTGACGACCATTGCACAACTGAAAGGAATTGAAGATGATCAATAATTTGTTGGAATTGTTGTTTGAAGGTTGATGATGTTTACCTTATGACACAAATCATACCGGCAGGCATGATTTTTTTTGTGTTATAGAACCGATATCCCATGATTCCACCCAGGGCGGTGCTTGTCCCCAGGAGAACTGCGCAGTTTCGAGGGTCTTGGGATGTTTGGTATGCTCCATAGCCCAGTATTGTTCCGAAGAGGAGGCCAGCACCCAATGACGGAATTGATTCTGTTTCAATTAGAGAATTTCTCTATTTTATGGTTATTATTCCTCCTCTTAAATATAATAAATCTGTTGTCCATTCTTTGGTCGCGATTCACCCAAAATCATCTTTTTAAATATAATAAATCTCTTGTCTATCCTTTGGCTGCGATTCACGAAAAATCATCTTCTTAAATATAACAAGATCTATGCGCGCGCTCTCACGCGCGCTGATCTATTCATTTGTTGAAATGAAGAAATGGAATTCATTGAATTTCATTTTCTCATGAATACCTTATAAATATTGATAATGAATCAAAGAGAATTCGACTAATGATTGAAGTGAATAGCGAAGTAGAGTAAAAGAATCTATAAAGAATTTTTCATTTTCAATTAATTATCTACAATTTTTTTAAATAATCGGTCTCCATAAAAAGACAGAATTTATTAATTTCCCCGATGATATATATACATGTGAAATATATATATATATATATATATATATATATATATATATGACGTGAAAAAAAATGTACCACTGAAGAATGTGAAAATGCCGCGTGTTTTTTTTGTGAATAACTTCGTGTCACATATTGACCAATCAGAATTAAGGATTAGCGGTCAGGCAGTTTCGAGATATTTCGATATAAAACTACTTCACGTTTTTTTCATGTTTAGTAAATAGGATAAATCTGTTGTCTTTTCTTTGGTCGCGATGCACCCAAAAACGACTAAATGGATTTCAATAGTATTTTTTCTGTTATATGGTTTAGGGTCCCCCATCGGCTTTAGGATATTAGTTATTGCCCTATGGTACGTAGTGTAGTATGCACCGTAGAAACTTCTAGAAAATTCTAGAGCTTTCTGGAAAATTCTAGAATATTCTCGAATTTGCGAGAATATTTTTGAGATTTTTACAAAGTTTAAGAATATTCTCGGGTTTTGTAAACACTTCCTTTGGTTTTACAGAAAATTCCAGAAAATTGTCGGGTTTTCTAAACATTTTGAAAAAGTTCTCCGGTTTTTGAAAAAATTCGAGAAAATTTTTCTCGAATAACGCTTTGGTTTCACAGAGAATTCAAAAGAATTCTTGCATTTTGTCAAAAATTCTCAGATTTTCTATAAAATTAGAGGAAATTTTCGGATTTTCTAGAAAATTCGAGGAAATTCTCTCGGATTTGCTAGGAAATTCTAAGGAATTCTCAGGTTCTCAGAACAAATTTTTTTGTTCCAATTGAGCAATTCAATTTAAAATTCTGATATTGTTTTCTGTCGTTGTGATATATTTTCTACTTGGTCATAAATTTCAAAGTAAAAATTCCAAAGCAAAGCATTATAATTATAATAATATAGTTTATTTTTCGATGTATGGCTTTAGCGAAGCATTATTATCTTGTAAAATCACAAAGTTGTGTAATAAAGCAATTTCAACAGTCATTTTGATGAATAAAAAGTAGAGGATAATGTTGCCATTCATTATTGTCAAGAATGACATTCTAATGCAATGAAATTAAGTCATAAAATTTTAAGAATAATCTCCCAAAATTTGATTCATTCTGAACATTAGAAAATGGCTATGTCTAAATAGAAAATTCTGATGAATGAGTTATCTAAGAATTTCTAAATTCTTTCATTTCAACAGATAGAATGGGAATTCAACTTCAAGAATTGTCAATCTCAATCGTTTTTTCGTTGTGAAATTTTTCTAATTTGATCAGAGTCACAAATTTCACGAGTATAAACTGAAAAACACAGAATTAATCTCTTGTGAATCAATCGAATTATGGAGTTATGTAATAAAACAATTTCAGGAGTCATTTCGATGAACAAAAAGTAGGAGATAATATTGCCAGTCATTATTAAAAGGAATGATAACACTCATGAAATGTTAAGAACAATGCCCCTACAATTTAATTTCTTCTGAACATTAAATAATGGCCTGAAACGTAGTAAATTTTCATCCTAAAATAGAAAGTGAATAAGTAATCTAAGAATTTACAAAATCTCTGGTTCCGAAATAAATTTGAATCAAAAGTGAAGAACACAAAAATGACAAAGGAGCAAAAAATTTTTTTAAATTGCAATAATTTTCAATATTAATTGTTCGTCAATAATTCACAAAATCTCTGATTCCGAAATAATAAATTAAAGATGGAGAACACGAAAATCGCAAAGCAACACAAGAATTTTTAAATCGCACTAATTTTCAATCTTAATTATTCTTCAATGATCATATTTTGTCGTCATAAATCATGCAGCAAAAAAAAAGCCAAGTCATCATTAAAAATACCGTATCAACATGCAAAGTCTCCCAATAAGATAGTAGCATTCTCACACTTAATTGTTCTTCCCCGCAAAAAAACATGCCGAAATTTTTTCTAATGGGTATTATCAGTCATTCGATATTGTTGACAAACTCACTGGCTTTCACGTAGCCTAGAATTCCACCACCGGCGACAGAGGCTGCGTACGCAAACGCTGTGAAATCAATCGGCATTTTTCTCCCGTTTATTTATTTATTTATTTATTTACTCGACTTTAAAATCGACACCCGCCGCTATGGTGGAGGTTTAACGATGAATCGATGATAATGACACTATTTTCGCTTTATCAGTGAAACCTGTGCCCACTACTCACGGAAAAATGTATCGAGTGAAGGTTGCCACTAATACCCCTTCCCCTTCAATGTTCCGCGTATTGGTGCATTTTAAATGTCCTCGTTGGCGCCAACTCTTATTTTATTTGTTTTTATAACAATTGTAAACGTCCATGCTAGAGAAAAATTTGTTTTAATATTTAGATCATCCAAGCTTCCGCATCATTTGCATATCTCCCACACTCAATGATTTTTCCGAATTGAAATTTTAATTTTGGAGCAAAGAAAAACTCCGACAAAAATGAGGAAAAACATGTCTGTAAAAAACAAAGTATTTCAAGTGAATAAAGAGAAATAGTTCGTGTTAACCACTGATGGTTCTTGATAATTATTTGAGAAATGGAATTGTTTACGAGCAGATTCAAGAAACAATGATGGACATTCAATTTGTTTTTGTAACAAATGTAAACCTCTGTCGGAGGGAAGAAATAGTTTTTAATGTTTAATGTTATCTCAATTTCCGCATTATTTGCATATCTCCTACAATGATTTTTACCAATTGAAATTTCAATTTTGGAGCAAAGAAAAAGCCGATTCCGATGAAAATGAGCAAAAAGTTGTTTTAAAAAAACAAAGTGTTTAAGGTAAATAAAACGAAATAGTTCATGTAGACATTTGATCATTCTCAGTAATTACTTGGGAGATGAGATTGTTGAGAAATAGAAAGAAATAATGATGAGCATTCAATTGGTTTTTATAATAAATGCAAGCATTCATGAGAGGAAAGAAATAGTTTTTAGCGTTTAGTGTTATCTCAACTTCCGCATTATCTGCGTATCCTCTACAAACAATGGTATTTCTCGATTTAAATTTCGTTTTGGAGCAAGAAAAATCGATTCCGATGAAAATGAGCAAAAAATTGTTTAAAAAAAACAAAGTGTTTAAGGGAAATAAAATGAAACAGTTAATGTAGACATTTGATCATTCTCAGTAATTACTTGAGAGATGAGAATGTTCATCAACATATTCAAGAAATAATGATGAGCATTCAGCTTGTTTTGATAACAAATATAAATATCCACCAGAGGGATGAAATAGTTCTCGATTTTTAATATCATTTAAACTTCTACATAAGTTATGTAGCTCCAACAAACAATGATTTTTCCCGATTTAAATTTCAATTTTGGAGCAAGAAAAGTTCATTCCGACGAAAGTGAGCGAAAAATGGTTCTGAAATAACAAAATATTTCAAGTAATTAAAAGGAAAGAGTTAATGTAAACAATTGATGATTGTTGGTTGATAATTACTCGAGAGATGGGTCTGTTCATGAACATATTCAAGAAACAATGATGGAGCATTCAATTTGTTGTGGCAATTGTAAATATGCACCGGCGGAATTAAATAGTTTTTAATGTTTCATTTCATCTTAACTTTGGCAACATCTCCATATTCCCTGCAAACAATGATTTTTCCCGATGAAAATTTCAATTTTTGAGCAAGAATAGTTAGTTCTGATGAAAATGAGCAAAACATTATTTTCAAAAACAAAGTGTTCTAAGTAAATAAAAGGTAGTAAACCTTAACCGTAATTTATGTAAATAACTGACGATTCTCGATAATTACTCGCGACAGATGGAACGTTCCACGAGCATATCCAAGACGAAATAATACTCATGCAGTTTGTTTTTATAACAATTGTAAACATCCACAGAGGGAAAAAATAGTTTTTAATGTTTAATATGATTCAAACTTCCACATAAATTCTAGATGCTCAACAAACAATGTAAATCCTCAATGTAGATCCTCAATGAGTTTTCCGGATTTCAATTTCAATTTTGGAGCAAAAGAAAAGTCGAATGAGCACAAATGAGCACAACATTATTTTCAAAAAACGGAGTGAAAAAAATTGTTTTCAATGTTTAAAGTCATCTAAATCTTAAACATTATGTGTATGATCCCCTCAAAAAAATGGTTATAGCCAATTTGAATTTCAATTTTGGAGCAAAGAAAAGTTAATTCCTGTAAAAATGAGCAAAAGATTATTTTTAAAAAGTGTCTCAAGTAAACAAACGGGGATAATTCATGTAAACAATGATTTTGCCCGATTTAAATTTCAATTTTGGAGCAAAAAAAATTGGATCCCGCTGAAAATGAGCAAAACATTTCTTTCAAAAAATGAAATGTTTAATTTTTGTTTTGTTGCAAGTCAGTGTGCAATAGTCACTGTAAACATTTGCTGGTTCCCGGTAATCACTCGAAAGTATCGTGTTTATCCACAAAAAAATTTAGAAATACATAATTACAAGTCATTAAGTTCGAGGAAATGATTGAGCGCAGCAGATATGAATAGGTGCGACTCATCATAGAGCTCCAGTCGCCGCGTGACCGATGTAAACGCTGGACAAACGTCAAAACCGTAAACGTAAAAGTATTCACGAGGAATTTAGGTAACAATGGAGTCACAGAGTGTATTGATCAACACTGGAAATATACTGTCTTTCAATGAGTTGAAGTTGAAAGTGGGTCAAAATACCAACGAGGAGGTAGTTAATCATTTTCTTCAAAATATCAGTGATTTTTGCTTGTCACGGAGACAATTACGTGCTATTGATAATCAGTTGTCTATGAAAAATCGTCTAATGTTGATAAGAGCATTGTTGGGATTGAGGTTATGTCAAATATTCCATTCTCGAGTGCTTTATTTGTTATTCTAATCAACCTTGGAGTGAATCCTTGGTTTCATCCGGTTTCTCCTGGATTTTAACGTCAATTTAATTTGCTATTTGTGTTTTTAATTATTAGCTTGTTGAGGCGTTGAAGATTACGTTGAGAGACTCGCAGGGTAAAAATCATGCTACGAACACGGTAAGTATTAATTTTTTTTTATTCTTGAATTATTAAATGATAGAAATAATTTGAAGAATGAAGAGTTGAAAATCTGGGGCATCTCTAGAGCTGCCCTTTAAAAATTTCTGATGTTTACCACGTGATACGCGCATGTGTGTGTGTGTGTGTGTGTGTGTGCGCGCCATGAGGGGGAGGGGGGAGTAGTAATATAATATTTTTTGAATGAACGATGAGACTGATTTTTTCGGATGTAATCGATCTTTTTTTTCGTGTTTTAAATTTGATTAAATTTTGAGAAATATTGACTTAGAGGTTTGTCGGTTAGTTTTCCAATGAAACTTTCAAGTATTTTCAGGTTTTATTCAAATAGCTGATAAAACCACAGGGAATTCGTCTTGGTGACGTATGGAAAAATTTTATAGAAAAATTCAGCGAATTGAATTGGAAATTCTGTTGGATTTCTATTGAACTTCCATTAGTGCTCGGTAGATTGCCATTTTATTGCAGAATTGTGAGGTTTACTGCGCGTTTTTGAAATGGAAAATATCCAATGGAAAGTATTTTATAGAAAAAATCAGTAGAATTTCATCTATTCATACAATTTTTTCGATTGAGCCATTTTCTGTCTGTTGAATTCATGGAATTCAACTTTCTGAGTTTTTTACTCCTTTTTTCTCTTCTTTAAAAGAATCCTTTTTTACTAATTTCCTATTTTACTAAAGATGAAAGAAACGTCAAGTTATTTTATATCGAAATATCTCGAAACTGGCTGACCGCTAATCCTCAATTTTGATTGGTCAATGAATCACGTGAAGTAATTGCTGAAAAAAATCCCCGGTATTTTCAAATTCTTCAAATGGCAAAATTTTTTTCTGCGCCATATTTTTCATTTTTTCATGTGTGAAGTTTATCTTTATATCAAAACATATCTAAATTGCCTAATTGTTAATCATGAGAAAAAAAAACATAGTATTTCTAAATTTTTTTAACTCACAAATTATTCTTCACTTCCCAAATTTTAATTTTTTCATATTTATCACACGCCAAAATGATCAATTCTTGCTTCTCAGATTTTCATACATAAATTCTAAACTCTACAAAATTCACGAAAATTCTTCGGTTTCCCAAATAATTCTAGAAAAATCTGTGATCTACGGTTATTTGGAAAACTGTGAAATTTTCCGAAGAATTCAAGAAATTTTTTCAGTTTTCTACGAAATCAATTCATAACCCTCCCCTGATTTTTCAACAATTACAGATTTTAATCGGATTATTTTAAAAAGTAAAAAATAAAACAAATTAATCGAAGATTAAAAATTATCCATTGATGCTTCACTCTTCATTCTCTTCATTCTCTTAATTCTCTTTAAGTCATTATCAATATTTATAAAACATCTATGAGTATATGAAGTTTAATAAATTCGATTTCTTCATTTTTACAACAAAAAGATAAGCGCGCGCGAAAGCGCGCGCAGATCTAGTAGAATAGAAAAACTTGAATAGGAGAATTTGAGCCGGTGAATTTCTATAGAGAATCTCAATAGAAAACGTTGAATAGAAGAATAAAATTTAAATTTTCTATTAACAGAAATGCGAAGATAAGCTGGAGAATTTGTCAATAAAACTGGACAAAAACTAATCGAAAGTTCAATAGAAATAGAATAAAATGTGGTAACGAATTCGATATGTTTTCTTAGTTTTGAGGCTTTCGAATTCGATGTTTTTTTTTTTTGTAATTTGAATCTAATGAGAACTTAGAATTATGGAAATAACTCGATTGCTTGATGAAGAGAAATATTCCTCTGCATTGTTTATTCAAGAGCATGGAAGTTCTCGAGATTTTGAATCTATGAATTCAATACAATCGATTAATTTTTTGTTTTTTAGATTTTATTAGATTTTGAGAAAAATTGACTCATTGCTTTGTCAGTTATTTTTCAAATGAGTTACTATTGGAAATGTCGCTTTTTGTCGATTGAAAAAATTCAACATATTCTGATGTATTTTTTTAATTTACCCCCTTGAGGTTTTTTCTGTAGGAATTTTCGTGCATAAATTTTACACCTTTTTTTGCTATATTTATTTTGATCCATATCCCAAAATCCAAAGACAAAAAATTGTGAAATTGACGCCTGAGAATGTTTATTTTTTTCTATCAAATATGTGAAAAAAAACCGCACGACAAAATTATGCGGGTTTTATTCTTATTCCACCCTTATTATATCAACATTACTGGTCCAGAGAAGATGTGCTGAAAATCTAATGTAAATGCACGAAGTCTTTCATTAAATTTTTTCCGTGCACTTACATTCTCTCCGAGGCACCCAAAGTCCTATTTACTAAAGATGAATGAAACGTGAAGTTGTTTTATATCGAAATATCTCGAAACAGCCTGACCGCTAATCCTTAATTCTGATTGGTCAATATGTGACACGAAGTTATTCACAAAAAAAACACGCGGCAGTTTCAAATTCTTCAGTGACATAATTTCAAATTCTTCAGTGGTAAATATATATATATATATATATATATATATATATATATATATATATATATATATANGATTATTTTAAAAAATTGAAGATAATTAATTGAAAATGAAAAATTCTTTATAGATTCTTTTACTCTACTTCGCTATTCACTTCAATCATTAGTCGAATTCTCTTTGATTCATTATCAATATTTATAAGGTATTCATGAGAAAATGAAATTTAATGAATTCCATTTCTTCATTTCAACAAATGAATCGATCAACGCGCGCGAGAGCGCGCGCATAGATCTTGTATTCCAAAAAATTCATTCTATTCGAGAAATGTCCTCCCATTTACATTGTAATTACACTCCTGTAATTATCCTAGATCAACGGAAATGAGCCTGCAAGTCTGGAAGATCGAAAGGAGTTGAAGATCACTGTGAAGATATTCATGCCCTCAGCAGATCCAGACTTGTTGAAAAATGCCATAGATCAAAGTACGAAACAATTCCTTAGATCATTCAATCGTTATACTAGAAGGCTGCTCACTAAATTCTTCGTTTCATCCTCTAGTTTTCAAGGTCTTCGATACAGACCGCATCGAAACTCTGATCCTCGCGTATGGAGACGCTAAGAACACTGAGAGTGAACTGGAGCAGCTCCAGAAACTCTGGCCTATCGTTGAGAAATATGTGAATGCCGGGGAAATCTGCCATGTAGGATTCAGCAATGTTGATACTGATGTTTTTATCAAACTGTACGAGTGGGCAACTGTAAGTTCAATATAAATATATGATATTTATGTAAACTGAGAGACCAGAAGACCTAATATTACAAAAAAAATCATGAGCAAAGCTTGATTAATTATTTAAAATCATTCTCATTAGCATAATCAGTATTTATTAGGATAATTAGTCTCATCAACATAGTTGGACTTTTTTGTTGATTTCATTTCATTTTCGAGTTTGCTACTGATTGCGCTGGTGAACACCAAATTGTTCATCAACTCATCGGTCAAAGAATACACTCGAGAATCATTCTCATTACAAAAAGCAATACGACCAATGAGAATCATATGTCCCAATTTATCAGCCGTTAAATTGTCATATTACAAAAAATGATTTGATCATATTCTAATTGCAATGCTCACTGAATGCCATTTTAACCATAATTACAATTCAATTCCTTCTAGAATATACTTCAGAGTATGAATTTCTGGAATTCAATGTTTCATGATACTCTGGTAAAAGTGCATGCCCACACTGTTATCAATTTTTAGTTCATTCACACGGTAACTCAATTAATCAGTTGTTTATCTCATCAATATAATTTCCCGCTTAGAATATTGTCATCTCGTGTTTTCAGCACCAAATTAAAAATTAAAACTTCATTTGGAATATTGAATCAGCTTCTTTTTATTCATATCAGAAATTTTGTATTTGGATATTAATATTATTTGTTCAAAGTGAAAAAATCGATTATCACGTTCACTATTTTGCATTCAGATTCTCGTATTCGTAATGTAAAAAATGTCAGATAATCTCGTAAATCTAGCTATTAATTCTATTCAACTTTGTTCGAAAGACCCTTTATTATTTGAGAACGCACTATTAAAAAAGTAGAATTATTCTATTTTCTTCTTTGGCCTAAATCACTTGAACAATTACGATTCGTTTATTTATGTTCCTAGGCTCACTAAATAAGATTTTAATCATAATTCCAATCAATTTCTTCTAGAACACACTTTAGAGTGTAAATTTCTGGAATTCAATGTTTTATGATACTCCGGTAAAAGTGCGTGCCCACACTGTTATCAATTTTTAGTTCATTCACACGGTAACTCAATTAATCTGTTGTTTATCTCATCAATATAATTTCCCGCGCAGAATATTGTCATCTCGTGTTTTCAGCACCAAATTAAAAATTAAAACTTCATTTGGAATATTGAATCACCGCTTCTTTTTATTCATATCAGAAATTTTGTATTTGGATATTGATATTATTTGTTCAAAGTGAAAAAATCGATCATCACGTTCACTATTTTGCATTTAGATTCTCGTATTCTTAATGTAAAAAATGTCAGATAATCTCGGAAATCTAGCTATTAATTCTATTCAACTTTGTTCGAAAGACCCTTTATTATTTGAGAACGCATTATTAAAAAAGTAGAATTATTCTATTTTCTCCTCTGGCCTAAATCACTTGAACAATTACGATTCGTTTATTTATGTTCCTAGGCTCACTAAATAAGATTTTAATCATAATTCCAATCAATTTCTTCTAGAACACACTTTAGAGTGTAAATTTCTGGAATTCAATGTTTTATGATACTCCGGTAAAAGTGCGTGCCCACACTGTTATCAATTTTTAGTTCATTCACACGGTAACTCAATTAATCTGTTGTTTATCTCATCAATATAATTTCCCGCGCAGAATATTGTCATCTCGTGTTTTCAGCACCAAATTAAAAATTAAAACTTCATTTGGAATATTGAGTCACAGCTTCTTTTTATTCATATCAGAAATTTTGCATCTGGATATTCATATTATTTGTTCAAAGTGAAAGAGTCGATCATCATTTTCACTATACTGCATTCGGATTCTCCTATCCTTAACGTCAAAAATATCAGATAATCTCGTAATTCTAGCTATTAATTCTAATCAACTTTGTTCGAAGAAACCTTAGTAAACGCAATATGAAGAAAGTAGCATTATTCTATTTTACTCTGGTCTAAATGATTTGGGCAATTATGATTCGTTTATTCATGTTTCATAGAGTAGTATTCAATTCTCTTTTGTATTTTAGGCGGGCGTCATGAAAATTCGACGCAAGACGATTGTACTCATGAAAACCGTCTTACTTTCTCCACTCATTCGATTATGCTTTCATTTTTTAAGAAAACAATCTCCATTCGTTTCATTATGCTTTCTGTTGGAAAGGATAATAATTACATGTAAAAAAAGAGTTACCTGAAGCGCCATCTATGCAATATCCATTGAAGTATTAATGGATCTGGTATCATGAAAAATTTAATATTCAATGCAAACATACTTTTATCATCCAGGTTCGGCCAAGCATTGTGCAAATAAATCTTGCCACTTGCTGTGTGGTTCCACCAGCCCTCCAAGCCTTTACGAAAGAGCACGACGTGCAGTTGTTGACACACAACGATCCATATCGTAAGGCCCAAATCCATTACTCATGTCCTTTCCTCATGCGTTGCAATAATTTACGAGTGACCCTTCGATTTCTTCTTCCAGAACTTCTGGGCAAAGACTCGTTGGCTGATATCTTCGGGCCCACTGCTAAACTTCAATGGGTCATTAAATACCAAGTGCACGTTAAATGTCGAGGTGTTTTAACTGTTAAAGGATATTTAGTACAATATGAAAAATGATAGGCATTAAATAACTGAAATACTCTCATTATTTTGAATTTTTACACCATTGATTGAACTTACTCTTTGAAAATGCTGTGACCTTCATGTTTTTTTAATCGCTGTAGTCAACAAATTTGCCGATATTACAGTGAATTTTATGTAAAATCGGATTGCTTTTATTTTTATCCATAAGCAATATGGATATAATGATGAATCCTCGGAAAGTATTGTACATTAATTATGTAATATAATGAGTGGCTGTAGTGGTGAAGCAGCAGCGTTCAGTCTGCCCAGTACTTGGATGGGTGTCTGCTTAGGCACACCTAAAACCGCGTGGGACTACAGTCGCTAGGGACGAATGTAGAGAACCCACTGTGCCCATTGAGTCAGTGTGACCAATGGACACAGTGCAATCCCTGCATTATCGGCCGGCTGCACGACTGAGGTTTTCCATGGTTTCCCTGGCAGTCCAATCCCGAATGGGGTGCAGTTGGGAATAAAGTAAGTCGGCCCATGGTAACGCAGATAGGGAAGGGAACAAAATGTAAAAACCCGAGAGGGTATACATATGGAACAAAAAAAAAATGTAATATAATGATGGAAGTAATTTTTGTTCTGATAAATGGAAAATAAACTCCTCATGACGATTGAAATAATTTTACGTTTTCTAAATCATGATCGTTATGAGAAAACAATAAATTGATAATGATAAATGATTAATTACGTTTTAATGGGCAACCAATATCTTTTCCCAAAATGATGACTATGGAGTGGATAATTGAATGAAAGAAAGAACAGTTGGCCACTCGTTGAATGTAACATCCCTGACAAAATAGAATGTACAGAAAAATAGCCGATGGGTAGTAACACGCGTTGTGTACGGCAGACGGCAAAATGACTGGTCATTTTCGGCCATTTTTCCGCCTACCGTCAAAATAGATATTTTCGTCACAAGGTTGAACAAGTGGGAAATTGCCGATGTATAGCATATAGTATAGCTTTTTTTGCTAATAAATTAGCAATATGCTTCCGAATGACCATGTTGCATTTTTTTTCTTCCGTATATGATTTATATTTTACTTTATTTCATTAAATTGAATAAGTTTTTTTTCAATCAATTGTGGCAATTTTTCTCTTCAGTTGAATTTTATAATTATTATTATTCTTATTATTATTTTCTCTTATAGAACTTTTTATTTATTTATTTTTTTTCATTATTATTTCATCATTCTCATTGTTCCTCTGTAGCATTCATTTTATAAGCTACATTTCATGGTTTCATTTCGCTTTTATATTTTCATTGAATCGTTTTCTAGTTATTACAATTGGCTTCTTTCTAAGCTCTGTATTTAACAGGTTTGTCGTTTCCATAAGCCACGTGAAGGTTATGGCTGTCGATTATTATGAATATATCAGTTTTTTAAAAATGATATTTTAGTTGTTCATAACAGGTTTGCATGAATCCTCAAAAGTATTAAATAAATGGATTAGCCTTAAATGAATTTGAACCTTTTTCTTTCATTCAAATAATCAACGAAAGTATTTTCCACAATAATGGAAAGGCAACAAACTTTCGAATACCATAAGCGACTCCTGAAATTCTTGTATAAATCAAATGAAAGAGTGATACTATTTATATCATAACAAAATTTCAACAGAATATCGTTGAAAAAAATGTATTTATCCATAATTGATTGAGTTTGAAACATCACATTTGAGGAAACCATGAAATAGTATATTTCGTAACGAGTGCAAAAAACATTCTTTCACGAGTTACGAACAAAATTTTTCATCACAATGTGGCGGAAATTGGACTTTTAGGCATGCGGAGCGTGCCGAAAAGTTCACTTTTCGTCATAGCGTGATGAAAAAGCTAATTTTCGGGGAAACTGATGAAAAATTGGAAATTTCTGAAAATTATTATAAAAAAATTGAATCAACGGAGGCAGTTATCGTAAGCGTCGTTCAACTTCCCCTTAAGGGCATCAATACAAACATTTCAAGCCATGATACAATTCATTCGAAGTCAGGAATCCAAAGATATCTGCGGAATTCTGATTTTCAAAAAAAAAAAATTTGCAAATTTTCACAAAAATCACAGTAACGATTACTGCTATCGTCTTCATCTTCGATGAAGGTCAGTCGTAATGTACTATTTCTTCACAATGTCCGTGAATGGCGTGTGACGGATACGAAGAGTCCGTTAAACGATGTTTTACGGATAGTGTGATGAAATATGTAGTTCGACATGTGCACAAGGATTTTTCATCTCGTGTAATTGGCAGCTCTCGGATTCATCTCAATCGAATCAAAATATACTAAGGATCATCTTGGATTGAATAAGATGAGCAGCGAAATTATGCTATTCGCTAATCCACTATAACCCTCAATATAATGCAGAGACAAAATCAAAAAATAAATTCCCAAGGAAACTGTAATAAATCCATCACGTTATGCAAATGGACTGCATAGATTCGAACTAATTTAAAATTCAGTGGACAAGAATAATGGCTCCCGATCTGTTATCCAGAATGATCACATTTTTCTATTCTACTTCTTCACGTACCATTCATCAGAATGTTTCTACAAAAATCTGAACACAACGAAATTTCCAGCATAAGAGAATCGTCAAATTTAACTTATGAACACTTTGAACGTAAAAAAAACATATTCTCACGAGGTACAGTATTGGCTCTCGGGTGGCGGTGTGAATAATTAGATAACAGTCGAGCAGTGTTGATGGAACAAAGTGAAAAAACAGTCATCAGGACAAATGAACACGGTATCTGTTCGATTATTATTATCGAAAAGGATCATTCTTTATTTTTAAACATGCAGAAGGATGAATTTGGTTGAATAACCATTAAATATGATCATCTATTTATTGGTAACCCACCGCCCATCTTGTGGTCAGTCGTCTATCTATTGGATTTTTAGGCTCTCTTTTTCGTCATTTTATCATTTATTCCTTCATTGTTTCCACTTCAAATCATTATTTTCCTATAGTTCATATATTCTTTCAGGCATAGAACCCCTTGTTGGCGTATTTGGGTGATTTACCAATTTTTTATCTCTTGACAGACCTCAAATTGTCCTTAACCGTCTATCTGTTAGTTATTCTATATCGGAGAAAATGCGAGACGAATACAATGAGAAAATTATTTTTGAAATTTTTAACAACGACAAAGTTACATAGAAATTTCTGTATATTTCGTCATTGGCGAATCAATTAATTTATTGAATAATCAAGTAATTGTTTATTTTCAGGTCCTTACGGCCCTGAAAAATCTTGAAAATTTTCAAAATTCAAGCAACAACTTTTGTGAATTCTCAACCTATTGAAAATTGAATTGTATATGATGTTCAATTTTCACGCTGAATTCGGAAATTCAAGATTTGATTGAAAAATCAATGATTGTTTTGCATGAAAAACCCAATTTTCTTGAATTTTCAAGATGAATAGGAAAATTAGGGAACGCTTTCATTTGAAACTGAATTCAACCTCACAACATCGAAAATTCAAATGACGTCGTGACTGAAATTTCAAAAAAATTCTAACAGTGTAGTGTTTTTTCCGTTGGCTCGAGAAAATTTACTGAACGTGAGGGTATTTTGTGTCGAAACTGTAAAATTTACCCTGCATTCCATTCAAAAATTATCCCAGTGTACGTGAATGATAAATTTTGCATCCATAGATGTTTTTTTTCAGCTATCGAATCGTAAAATATCCACCACAAGCAAATATTTTTTCATTGAATTACATTTCGCTCCACAATTATCCTCCGTACAGTAGAATATGCCACGACTTTCTCGGTAATTTTCATCCAACTTTTTTCTCTGTGTTAGAAAAATTATAAAAATAAAAAAAAATAAGGGTCATTTTGCTATTCTACATCTTCACGTCATGAAAAGTAAAAAATCAAAATAAAAAAATCAACCATTCAAATCCAATGCAAGAATTCATAAAAAATCTCCACAATGAACAAATCACAAAAAAAAAATAATAACGATCCCAATATTTTCCAGCAGCAGTAGCCAATCAGAAGTACTCCCCTGTCCCTTACAACCAAAGTAAACTACAAAAGTATAATCCCCCAGAGTTTTATGTGTGCGTCTCCTCAATATATGCTCTTGAATTTTTTCTTCCTTTTGCCCTTTAGCTTCTCATGGCTATGCCCCTGGATATCTCTCTGGCAGTGGTTTCCCTCCCTAACTCTCTTTTCCGTCCTTCTCTCCCCCCGGCTTCATCCTTTTGCATTTACCGCAACCATAGAGGTGCACAAACCATTGGAAAGACTAAAGGGAAAGAGAGAAGAGAGAAGAAAACGTCGGATCGAAAGAGTCTCCTCGGCATTTACCTCTTTGTCTTACGTGGCGTTGCGCGTGGTTGTCCTCATCCTCTTCTTTTGGTCGCCCTCCCCCTTCTGAAACCTCTCTTTACTCTCGGCTTCCTGAGGGTATGCGAGAACGATACTATGTTATGCCTTGGGACCCAAACGTCTCTGACATACTTTGTATGTTAATGCCACATAATGTCGGTTTTGTTCCTGTTTTTCCAGCATTTATTTGTTCGGCATCGCTTTTGCGTACGCACCCAATACCAAACTCTCTTAACTCCTCTCAAGGTACTTTCAAAACCTATGGCTACTATTATTTTTCATGGTTATCTGTACACCAAAGATCTTCATTCATTCTAATTTTATTCCATCTGCGCGGAGGGAGGAATTTTCTCTCTATATCATGAAAATCCAAATCGACTTCTGGTGATAAAAATTTGGTACTCGAAAATAAGACTCCACAATTAAGGGTTACAAGGGTTAACATAAGGATCACGAGCGTCAAAATGATGGTCATGAGGGTCAGGGTAAGGGTCACGAGGTTCAGAATCAGGGTCATGAGGGTCAAAATAAGGGTTACGAGGTTCAAAATCAGGGTCATGAGGGTCAGAATAAGGGTCATGAAGATCAAAATAAGGGTCATAAGGGTCAGAATAAGGATCAAGAGGTTCAGAATCAGGGTCATGAGGGTCAGAATGAGGGTCACGATTGT